ATTTTTGGAAAAAAAAAAAAAAAAAGTCTGGGTCCATCTCTGGCGCTGGGTGGGACATGACATGACATGACATTCTCCACTGCCCTATAGACTGTAGGAGTACAGTCTAGACATACGATTCCCCCCTCCCTTAAGAGTTAATTCAAATGGGCCTGGAACCACCTGAACCAGAAAACTTAGGAAGGCTTTCTGTTCCAGATACTAAAAAAGATTATGGTATGTAGCCAACTTTAGTATGTTTACTGGCACAGCGGGCTCTTTGGCTGTTGCCTAAATGCTGTGTTTTCCCCACAGTGGCCCCTTTGGTCCTTTCCTACTCCCAACCCTTGACAGTATCTCTTGTTATTCTATAATAAACTGCCTGTCTTCTACACTAAGTTCTGTGTTTCCTCTGGAATCATTTGACAGAGATCACACGGGTGGGTCAGATCCCAGTACTGTTCAGATCCCCAATTCATAAAGTCTTGCATTTATCTCTGGTCTCTACAGATCTTCCCCCTCAAAAACAAAAGCATGAGTCCCACACGTATGACAAAACAATCAGAATGCAGCATTCACTTTAAAGCTACAGGGAAGCACTTCTGTCATGTTCAAGCTTTTCTGTGATGACACAATGTATTTTCAAGCGGTCTATTTAGAGCAAGAAGTCCCCCAAACTAAGTGGTGTAGGCAGCTGACTGTGCAGTCTCCCCCACAGCCCACCATATCTCAGCCCACTGGGAAAACAAAACCTTTTGCTGAGATGGGTCAGAAAAGTGGAACTTGAGTTTTATGTATGAGAATTTATAGCTATCACAGGTTAAAAAACAGACTGTTTTGGGAGAGGGGAAGAGTTAAGTGCTTGGCTAAATTGGTAGGTTTAATAAAAGGTTGATTTTTGTTTTGTTTTGTTTTGTTTGTTGAGTCTCATTAATAGCCTAACCTGGCTTGGAACTCTTGATCCTGGTTCCCTGCTTCTGTTTTTATGTATGAGTGTATTGTCTGCATGTAGTAGTAAGAGCACCTGTGTTATGCAGTGCCCACAGAGGTCAGAAGAAAGCATCGGATCCCCTGAAATTGGAGTTTGGGACAGTTGCTAGCTGCCATGTGGGTGCTGGGAATCAAACCTGAGTCCTCTGCAAGAGCAGCCAGTGCTCCTAACCACTGAGCCATCTCTCTGGCCCCTTGTTTTATTTTTTGAACTATAATTTCAGCTCCAGTAATTAAACACAGGATAGGAGACCAAACCCAGCAGTACAAGCTTTGTATTTGTCATCCGTACACTGTGCTCAATATAAGTGTCTCGGGGACACTGGACAAAGGCTGTCTAACCAAAGTTTCTGGGAAGCACAAGACAAGACAAGCATTCTGTGATCATGGGCCCCACGTATGCCAAATGCCAGATTCTAGGTAGAATACTCTTCTAGGTTTTTGTTTTGTTTTTTTAAGGTAAGCATTCTCTTTAAGTCTTTAGTGAATACTGTGGCAAGCTCAATGATCACCTTTTCCCCCCTCACATGAAATGTGGACAATGCAAGCTCAGATTTCTCTTGCTCAGGCATTTTCAAGATTTGAGCCGACAAGTCTGGATGGGAACTCTGCTGATGCTACCCAGAGTGGTGTATGTAGCACGGTGTGGCTGAATTCTGACCCCCACCCGTCTGCTACTCTTTGAGTACAGAATGTTGGAAGTCCATCTTGATTTACGATGGAATGATTACCCATCTCTAATGATGGGCTACAATGTAGAAAAATCAGCTTACCTTTTTCATTTTTAAAATGTTTATTTTTATTTTATGTTTATGAGTGTATGACCTGCATGGTATGTGAGTGCACCTGTGTTGTGCAATGCCACGGAGGTCAGAAGAGGGCTTCAGATTCCCCTGGAACTGGAGTTAAGGACGGTTTGTAGCCACCATGTGAGTTGTGGGAATTGAACCCGGGTCCTCTGCAAGAGCAATCAGTGCTCTTAACCACTGAGCCATCTCTCCAGCCCCAAATCAGCCTACTTTTACAGTTCCATATGAAATTGCTAGAAACTTGGAACCAGTCTCTACAGAACTTTTACTGGCCCCATGAGAATAAACACTGTGTCAAGCTTGATAAATGGGCGAGAGGAACAAGAATGTTGAGTAGGATGTGTGACCGAGCTCATCCAGTGTCCATCTGGGGTGCTAGCTTTTTGACTAACTCATCCACGTTGTACAGACAAATCACAAGGCAGTGAGGATATTGTTGAACTATAAAGGCACTGATGCTTGATTTTTTGCAGCAGACGGTGATTAACAGAGACCCACAACTGCAGAGAATAAGAGACTGTGGCGTGCTTAGCCCGAAATGGGGCATCAACATTATACCCTTTCTTCCCAAGGCTTGAGGAAGAGGGGACATAAAGATTATAAGAGCCAAAGGCAGTGCATCAATGTGAGGAAACCACACACAACACGGCAGTTGCACATATGAACCCACAGCATTTGTGACAGAATGCACAAGACCTGCAAAAACCCAAGCCAGACAAAAAACCCAGCATGGATGGGGAGGTAGGCTGGAGGCTCTAACCTCAGCTGAGGAACTTCTGGCAATTGATAGCTGCTGGGAAAGGGAGTTAAAGTGTGACTCCAGGTAAGTAGACCAGGCTCCAGGGGATGGACCCACACCCAAGAGCATTTGGAGAACTCGGATTACACTTGATAGGCCTTTTAAAACAATGGAGGTCATGAAAGAGGAAGGAAAGTGGAAGTGGAGATGGAGGAGAGGGTCAGAATATGATCAAATACAGTGTATGACATTCTCAATAAAGTATATTTTTAAAAGGTATTGATGGGGCTGGAGAGATGGCTCAGCAGTTAAGAGCACTGACTGCTCTTATGGAGGACCCAGGTTCAATTCCCATCACCCACATGGTGGTTAACAACCATCTGTAGCTCCAGTTCCAGGGGATCTGACACCCTTCTGATCTCCATGGGTATTGCAATGACATGGGTGCACTTACACACATGCAGGCAATACACTCATACACATAAAATAAAAATAATATTTTTAAAAGGTACTGATGCTTGATCTCGGGTTGTCA